GGAGGGTGGAGCATGGACAGCATGATTTGTGAGGCCACTTCATAGGCTACTGTCACTTCGCATTTTATTCAGGAAATGCACCAGGCCTTTAGCTGGAAGAGACACCATGAGCTACAGTGACGATACTGACACTCAGGGTGTTTTCCCTCTGTGGGACATCAGGCAGGCAGTGAAAGTTCCATGAGGTCAGGAGATGCACTGGGGGTTCACAGACCTTTAAGTGTAGAAGAATCACATGAAGATGCACAGATACCTGAGACGCCCCCAACATGGAAAAGAAGCCAAAGCCAATACAATGCCTGTAGTCCCAGCACTTGGGTCACCACGAGTGCAAGGCCAGCCTAGATTATAGAGTGAGACCCCTTCTTAAAAAAGCAAAGCAAAAGTGTTGGCAGGAAAACAAGAAAGAAAGAAAGAAGGAAAGGCAGAGGGAGGGAGAAAGGAGAAAACATAAATAATAGTAAAATTTTGTGAAAAATAAAAAAACGTTTCTTCCACAGAATGTGACAGCACGCTGAAGAAAGGGAATAGTCTGTACTCACTTTGGCAGCACATATACTGAAAAAGGGAATGTTCAGAAACCACATCAATAACAACAGAAATTTCTAATTGGGTGTGGATGACACATGCCTGCAATTCTAATACTCCTGGAGGCTGAGGCAGGAGGGCCGCAAGTCCAAGCACAGCCTGGGAAATTTATCAAGACCCTGTCTCAGAGCAAAAACTAAAAAACACATTGGGGATATAGTTCAATATCAAGGCCCTGGGTTGCAATCTCCAGTCCCAGAAAAAGACAGGAGAAGAGAGGAGAGGGAAAAGGAGAGAGAGAAAAGGGGAAAAGAGAAGAGAAGGAAAGAAAATTCTGAGCAGGGCACAATGGTGCATGCTTGTAATTCCAGCTGCTTGGAAGGCTGAAATAAGAGGACCCCAAGATCAAGTACAGCTTGGGCAACTAAGACCCTATGGAAGGAAGGAAGGAAGGAAGGAAGGAAGGAAGGAAGGAAGGAAGGAAAGCAAGAATTCTTGTGATTAAAAAAAAAAAAAAAAAAAAAAAAAAACCCAGCAGGGCTGGTGCTGTGACTCAGCTGTAGAACATTTGCCTGCTCTGAGCCTGCAGGATGAGACTGAGACCCAGACCGACCGACCGTGGGTTTTATCTGCACCACTAGAAGGGAGGGAGGGAGAGAGATAGGGAAGGAGGGAGGAAGAGAGAGGAAAAAAAGGAATTCGAAGCTCAATAAAAAGATTTCAGGATAAAACTAAATGAGTATTTTAGAAAATAAACCAAAGTTAGAGATGTTTAAAAATAAGAGAACAAAAGATCCAAAAGAGAAAAGGCCTGAGTCAGGCGTGGCAGCACCACCTCCAGTGCCAGCACTTGGAAAGGCTCCACAGGAGGACCTTGAGCTCAAGGCCGGCTGGGTGGCGCAGTGAGAACTCATCTCATAGACAAAGAGAGAGGCAGATGTTATCCAAATGGATTGAAAACTCACAGGTCCACATTGCAAACTGTGGGGCTGGGGGTACTGTGCACTGATGTTCATAGCATCTTCTGCGGAACTGCAAAAACTTGTAAGCAACCACGTTTTGGGTGTCCTTTCAGAGCTGACCAGATAAACTGCAGCACAGGCAGTAGAATGCGATGTGGCACTAAGGAAACAAGCTACCAGTACATCAAAAACACAGACTTAGCCTTAAATGTGTATGGCAGGGGACGGAGGGACTGAGGACTGGGCTTCAAGCAGAGCATTTGTGTCACATGCATAGGCCCTGGGCTCCGTGCCTAGCACTGTGGACACACACACACATTCGCAAGAGCATGCACTCGGGCACACCCAGGCCCCGTGGTAGAGCGCTTGCCCAGAAAGTGAGAAAAACCAGGCTGGGCCAGATTACCTGGTAAGCCTAGTGCTACAGATCCACACCTAGCGTGAGGTGTAGGCCTGCAACCAAGACTTGGTGAAGTCCCTGCTCTCTGACTCCGCAATCCCATATTCTGTTACTCAAATCGGCTTGAAAACACTCATTTCTCCCTGAGAAGAGTCTAGGTTAACTGACTTTTTGAGCTCTAGGAGGAGCCCTGCAGAGTTAAGAGGTGACTGGAACCTCAGCCCCGCTCAGACGTGGAGCCTGGACAGGTGAGCTCCTCAGGGTGCCCCCCACCTTGGCTTCCCCGGCTGAGCTCTGCTCAGGAAGCTGAACCCTGACTCTGTCACAGGGACACTGGCTTGACTCTTCCAGGGAACAGTCACAGAGCCATGGCTTCATTGCTGTTTCCCTGCAGAGCTAGCATTAGGATTGCTCTTCAGTCTTTTGAAATGGAACCATGCTGTTTAGGATCCTCTCAGGAATGTAAAACTGAAGCAAGGGAACAAAGACCCCCAAACCTTGCACAAGGCAGTCTTTCTTGTGGGGTGGAGGCAGAATCAGACCAGCCCAGGAGAGCCCCAGTACTCATTAGGTCAGTCTGGCCACAGGGTAAGAGATGTTTATTTTGTTGTTACTCTTTAAACTGTGGGTCTATGTTCTATAAACTCCACTAACTATACATTTAAAAATGCAAACCAAAGAAAAGTTCAAATAAATAACAAAAGGATGATTTCAAGAACAGCTGCGAAGGCTGTTTCCTAGCTCCACTGTAATTCCATTTCAGCAGACCTACCCAGGACCTGGAAATTTACATTTTTAAATGACACTGAGGCAGGTGGTGCAAAACTCAACCTGCCTTAGTTAGGACCATTATGGGCTTTGGTATGAGACAAACCTGGAGTCAAAGCCCCAATTCATTGGATTCCAGGCTGTGTGAAATCGACTAAGCTCTCTTCACAAAATGAGCACCACAAACCCAGTACAGTATCTAGAGCAGTGGTGATGAACCTATGGCTCATGAGCTGCTGTGGGCTTCCTTCCTTTCTTTCTTTTTTTTGGTACCAGGGATTCAACTCATGATCTTGTGCTTGCCAGGCAGGCACTTAAGCCACTGAGCTAAATCCCTGGCACTATGGGTTTTCTTGTCACCAACAGCTCTAAAAGGTTCACCATCCCTGATCTAGAACTACTAACCAGGTGATACAGTCGGTTGTAATAATAATAATAACAATGACCAAGGAGTGCTGGTAGAATGGTATACTCTTGGCATGAAGTCCCAGGTTGGATCCTCACTATCCCCGCAAAGTTATTATTGCTTTCGGTGGAATAAGAATATACTTTCCAGATGTAGTAAATTCTTTTCTCTTTTCTTCTTTTCTTTTTGGCAGTGCTGGAGATTGAACCCGGGCCATAAGCACCTGCTCTATCACTGAGCTATGACCCAACTCAGATATATATAGTAATTTCTCTAATTTTGTAAATTTTCCAGATAATTCTCACGAAAGAGAGACTACTCTTTATAACTTTTTCATAAGCCTTCAAACTTTTCACACTTTTTAGCTAAATGTGAGAATCTAAGGGAATTCAAACTGGGAGAGATTTTTAGAATTGCAAGGTTCTAGCCAGGTATAGTGGTGCATGCCTGTAATCCCAGCATTTGGGAGGCTGAGGCAGGAAGATCACTGCAAATTGGAGACCAGCCTGAGTTATAAAATGAGCTCAAGGCCAGCCTGAACTGCATAGCGAGACCCTGTCTCAAATAATAATAATGTCACTTTTTAAAAGTATATTGTTTTGTTAACTTCACAAGTCTAAACTAATTTATGGGAGCTGCATCAGCCAGGATATACAAAAGGTGATGATACTTACACACAGGGTACAGGTTGTCCAAGCAGAAGAGATGCTTGGGGACCTCAACCTTACCCCCATGTGACAGATGAGGGATCCAAGGGCTACAGAGACTGACAAACCCAGGAGGGCAGAGCTGACCAGACTTCTTCCATTTCACCAAACTACCTATCACTCTTCCTACTCAACTTCCTTCTCGCTTCATGGATACCTCCGGGAGGAAATCAGGACTGTGAGGGAGTCGGAATCTGCAGTTTGGCAAGCTCCGCAAGACAAGGTTCTCATAGGGAAAAACAATGTAAGAGCAATTCTGCCTTTGCTGGTTTAATATAAACTGTAGCTGACCGGGAGGACTCAATCAAACATAGTGGGTTGGGTTTTGTTTTGAAACAGGGCCTCACTTGTAACTCAGGCTGGCCTTGAATTCACAGAGACCCTCCTGCCTTCGACTCCTGAGTACCAGCATTACAAGCCTGCAACACCACGCTCAGTGTTTTTAACAGGTTAGCTGTGAGACAACAAAACTTGTGCCTCACCCTTTCAGCACTTCGGTTTTCCTCACTTGTAAAATGAGAGTGATGCATTTAGCATAGTGCCTAGCAAGTCTCAAGATGCAAACTGGGGTGCAGTAAGCTGTTGGAAACAAGGTGGTGACTGAGCAGGTCTGGCGCCCGGAGGGCTGGGATGTCCTGTGCAGGGCGCAGCTCACAGCAAGTGCTCAGCCAGTGTGCTTTTAGAGCAGAACCACAGGTGACATTTATCACTTTTTTTTTTTTACCTGGATTGTCCCATTTTTCTCCGCAGGTAACACTCAGAACAGCTAGTTTTCTCCGGTCCAAAATGTTAATCGTATCAGTCCTCACATCCAACAGTAGGCGGAGGGAAGTTGAAGGTCATAGCTAAGCCTTAAATTATTCATACTAGCACCTCCTATAGTCGAGAATTTATAGCCCTCGTCCATCCACCCATCCTCTCTAAGGCCGGATTGCCCGTCCACCCATTTTCCCCAGGATTACGCCCCTACCCCACAATGCCACGCCCCAATCCGGATCTCTGCCCTCTTCCACAACCTGGAGCTCTTCGTCCGCTTTCCCCACCCACCTCCTGTCTCCGCCCCGCCCCCTGCCCTAGCTCTGCCCAGTCAGAGGACTTCCAATCCTACGTCCCGCCCATCACCAGTTCCGCCCAACCACGAGAGGGACGCCTCCTAGGGCCACGCCCACCATTGGGCCCGCCCAGTCGCAGGATGCCGCTTCGCAGGCCCCACCCGTTAACGGGTCGCGCAGCAGCAGGCCCCGCCCAGACCACGCCGGACGCCGAGCGCTGTGCGTCCCCGCTCCGCGCGCGGCCTCTCTCCTCGCCACCGGCGCGCCCTGCGTTGGGCTGCGGTGCGAGCCAGGGACGGCTGCGCGAGGTCTGGGCTCGAGGTAGGCCCTAGAGCGGCCGGCGCTGTGGCGCAAGTCTCAGGATCCCCGGCGAGCGGGTCAGGACGGTGAGTGCCTCGCGGCCCGGAACGCTGGGCGCCGGGCGGGAGCGTGAGGCTGCGGCCGCGCCCACAGACGCCGTCTCCAGACGCCTGGCCTTGTCCCAGGAGCAGCTTGCGAGGCCGAGCGACGCTCCTCCTGGGGCCGGGCCAGTAGGAGGCGAAGCAGGCAGCGGCCGGGTCTCCGGGGAGGGGGGCACGGGGGCGGGATGATGGGCTCAGTGGGTGCCTACGCGCGAGACTGGCGGGGAGCGCGAAGGGAAGCCGAGCCGAGCCGACCCGCTCGCTCTGCTAGGTGGACCAGGCTTGCGGAAGATGGACGGAGAGAGGCGGCCTGCGCCCGGCCCGCCCGCCCAGAGCCTGCTCGCCGACGAGCACCTGGTCCTGTGGACACTCTGCTCCGTGCTGCTGCCGGTGTTCATCACCTTCTGGTGCAGCCTCCAGCGGTCGCGCCGGCAGCTGCACCGCAGGGACATCTTCCGCAAGAGCAAGCACGGCTGGCACGACACGGACCTATTCAGCCAGCCCACCTACTGCTGCGTGTGCACGCAGCACATCCTACAGGGAGCCTTCTGCGACTGCTGCGGGCTCCGCGTGGATGAGGGTTGCCTCAAGAAAGCCGACAAGCGCTACCCCTGCAAGGAGATCATGCTCAAAAGCGATGCCAAGGTCCCAGACGCCATGCCTCACCACTGGATCCGCGGCAACGTGCCCCTGTGCAGCTATTGTGTGGTTTGCAAGCAGCAGTGCGGCACCCAGCCCAAGCTCTGTGACTACAGGTACGGCCTTGGTGGGGACTTGCAGTCCCAGAGCGCCCTCATCTCGGCAGGTGGCCTCCATTGGCCTGTAAACATCCCTGGTGGCCCATAAAATCCCTGGTGATGCACAAGCCAGGCTCCTGCAGGGGTTTTGTGCTGAGTGGAGAGGACGGTTTGGTCTGCACTCCTCAGCCTGTCTGTGCTATGGGATCCTAAAATTTGGCTCTGCACTTTCATCCAGAGGTCCTTAACTGCTATCTGCCCGTGGCCAATGTATATCCTCTCTCTCTCTCTGTCTCTCTCCATTTTAAGGAAAAATGAGCTATGGACAAATTAACTTTTCCTTTCAACCACAGAGTGGTTCATCCTCGGTTTTATATTATGCAAACAAGTGTCTTTTTAAGGCAGTACTCTCAAGTGTCATTCGCTAATACAGCTGCCGTGCCTTAGTGAGACATTCTCAGGAGGGCTATTCCTTCTGAGAATGGCTTTTCAGGATCTGCAGCATTTTAGATAAGTGATATTGATTAAACTAGAAATACTTTAGCGGCTTTTTCATGCCCTCTGGACGACACATTTCTGCTGGTGGATGGTGGATTGGTGGTGGATAGGGATCCTGCGTTGCAGATCACCTGTGCTTTCTTCACAGTTGAGAAAATGAAAGCTAGAATAAGACTGGCTTGCAGGATTTCTAGCTCTTAGAATAGGATTCTGAAATCTTCATTATAATAGGTTTTATTTCTGACAAATAGGCTTATGAATGTATTTAAAAACTGAAATTGGAAGCTGGGACTAGATAAGTACTTTTTTTTTACTAAAAAAAAAACCCCAAGTTTTTACATTAGCATGAGCATTGTTATGTCAATATGTTGTTTTTAATCTTATTTTAAATTATTTTATGCATTATCAGATTTAGATTTAAGAATAAATTTTCAAAATGATACACTGCAGGCAAATACAGTTTTGTGTCTGTTAATCTTTGATATCTTTAAAATGTAGTTGTCCTATCTGTTCTTCTGTCTTTTGTCTTTATGGGTGAGTCCGAAGTTAGCAGTGACTTTAAATAAATTTCGTAACGGAATATTGTTCTGTTTCCTTCTCTTTTCTGTGTGCAGAATTATGTAAAAATGGCTTCTATAAATAACTGTATTTCAAATATTCCTTAGCAGGTAACCAGTGCTTATGATCATCCAGATGAGTGATCATTCTAAAAATTCAATTCTAATTGAGTCCCTGCTCTGCTCAAGACCTTTAATTTGCTCCCTAGCATTTATACTGATGGGTTAATGGTCTCAGTGTGAACTCCAAAGGCTTTTGTTTTGTTTTGCTTTTTTTTCATTTTTTGAGACAGGCTCTCACTAGCCCACAGTGGCCTTAAACTCACTCACTATGTAGTCTAAACTGGCCTCAAACTCGGCAGTTCTCGTGTCTCAGCTTCCCAAGTGCTGGGATTACACGTGTGTACCACCCTACCCAGCTCCAGAGGCTTTATCTGGCCTGCAAAAGCCTGTATTCTCCAGCTTCCCTGCTCTTACAGGTTTATCTGCCACCAACTGCATTAAACTTTATACACAGTGATTCCAAGCAGTTTCCTGAAAATGTCAAAACTTTTTCTTACTGCTTTCTTTTTCCCAAAGCTTTTCTCTCTTTGTATCTTTCTGGCTGGCACTTAAGCATCCTTGAAAATTCATCATCTGTTTTTTCTTCTAACATCTCTTGCCTGATTTACTCAGCTCTCCCAAATTTTTCCTCCTTGATGACATCCTATGCCTTGGGGGTTCTCAGAGTCCCTAGATCCAGTCATCACTTCTAACTGCTAGAATTACATAAACTGGGCATGGCTGAGCACACCTGTAATCCCAGCACTGGAGCCTGAGACAGGAGGATCATCCAGAGTTCAGGTTAGCCTGGGCTACGTAGTAAGCTTAAGGCTGGCCTGAGCTATGTTGCCAGATCCTGTCTGAAGAATCAAGTATAAAACAAAACAAAAAATTACTAACATTGCCAGATTGAACACATAAAAATGAAATGTCTGTAACATTTGGGACATAGACCAAAAAAACTTGTTCACTTGAAATTTACATTTATCTAGGCATCCTCTTTTTTTATCTGACAGCATTAAGCACCAGCCCTACGGAAAAATAAACGGGCCTGTGGGTCAGCAGTGCCTGTTTTGATAGGCCTTGCAGATGATTCCGAAGTTGGTGGATCATTTCAGTATTTATGTGTCTATTGAAATATGAGCACCTGTCCGTAATTTTTTCCATTGAGTACAATGAGTGTTTGTAATGGTAAATTAGCTTGTTCCAGGTTACAGAGCAGTCTGTTCCCATCGTGTTTCACCCCTCACCCATGTTCTCTAAATAATCAAGGAAGTGTTTATTATTCCTAGGAGAAAAGAACACAGATGTTGTATGTATTCTACAGTGTTCTGAACAGATTCAGTTAGGCCAATAATGTTTTTTGTAAGACAGGTCTCACTGTATAATTCAGAGTGACCTTAAACTCTATAGCTTAGGCTGGCCTCCAACTCATGGTGATCTTCCTGCCTCGGCCTCCCAGTGAGATATTTTGGAAAGAAAAATTTAGTGCTTAGAACCTTTATTTTAAAAATTTATTTATTTGTTGTTGTTTTTTGTTTTGGTACCAGGAATCAAACTCATGACCTTAAACTTGCCCTTTTTAAAATCATTTTTAATTGTTATTTTAATTAGTACAGGTTTGCACTGCATAATGATTACTTTCATTGTGGGGAGTTGACGTATGCACGTAATACTTGACAGTTTTTTGTCACTTTACTCTCTTCTGCCACCTGCTTCTTCCATCTCTTGGTCCCTTTCCTATTTTCAAAAGGCCCAGCTCCATATTCCTAACACCTATTGTTTATTTTGATCTTTAATTTATTTATACTTTGGGTTTCTCATGTAAGAGAATCTCTGTGATAGTTCAGCCTGTGTGTCTGATTTATTTCATCTAGTATTGTCTCAAGGTGCATCCGTTTTCCCACAAATGAGTCATTTAACCTCTATTTTTTATTCCTTTTTTTTTTTCTGAGACAAGGTCTCAGTGTGTGACTTAAGATGACCTTAAACTCACTATGTAGCCCAGGCAGCCCTCGAACTCAACAATCCTCCTACTTCAGCCTCCCAAGTACGGGAATTACAGCCGTGTGCCACCACACCTGACTCAGATTTAACCTTTAGGGCAGAAGTGTACTTCATTGTATATAAAACCACTTTTTATTCTTATCCATTCATCTGTTGATGGACAAACAGGCCAATTCCAAGATTTAGCTATTAAGAGTTGCACGTCTATAAATATGGATTTGCATGTATCACTGCAATACAGTGATGTCTTTCCCTCTTAAAAAATTGTCTAAAAGGAGAAATAGCTGTGTCAAGTGGAATTTCTAGTTTTAGTTTTTTGAGGAATCTCCACACTGATACTGTAGTGGTAGTAAGTAGTTTAAATTCCCACCAACAATGTAGAGAGGTTGCTTTTTCCCCACAGCCTCACCAGCATTTGTTTTATTTGATTTATTGTGGTAGCCATCCTTTCTAAAGAAAGGTGGATTCTCGGTGTTGTTCTGATTTGTATTCCTCTATTGCCCAGAGATGGTGAACATGTTCTCATGTACTTCCTGGCCATTCGTGCTTCTGAGAAGTATCTGTGCATTTCAGTCGTCCTTTTGGATTGGGTCTTTTATTTTGAGGGGTCTAATTTTTTTTGTTTAGTATTTTATATATTCTACATATTAATCCTTGTCCAAAGAGAAACTGGCAAAATTTCCATTCCTAGAGATGTCTCTTCACTCATTTCCTTTGACATGCAAAAGCTTTTTATTTGACATAATAATATTTGTTGATTCTTGGGAGTTATTTTCCTGTGCACTTGGGATTCTGTTCAGAAAGTCCTTTAAAACTTAGGTCTCTGATCTATCTTGATTTTAGTTTACTGCATGGTGAGATACTTAACACCTTTGCACACAACCAGACTGGCCTTCTGGATTTTAGGGAGCAGTGTGGAGGCTTCTTCTCTGTCTGCATCACATTCTTAAAGGAGGTGGTGAACGCTGGAGATTACTATTTCAAGAGGGATAATAACAGGTAGTGACTGATTTCACAGCCTGCGGCCCTGTCCAGCTCTGCAGAATCAGTAGCAGAGGCCCTTTCGTACCGAGCCTTTCAGTCTTTATGTGTGTTGGGCATCTGTTTAATGTCAGACACAGTGCTGGAGTCTGCTTTCCCTGTAGATTTTTTTTCCTTCTATGTGTTCTCGCCTCTACGCCCACTGCTACGCTGTGTTTCTGTGTGCCGTGTCTCACTGCTCCTTCACCATCCTTCTTTTGATCTTTTCAATTCTCTTCTGACCGAAATAGGAAGTTCAGTTCTAAAAAGAATTCATTATATTTATTAAATAAACTCCTGTTCCGTGTAATACTGTTTCTCAGGAAGAGAGAAAGAACTTGGTGCTTTGCTTGTTTGTTTTTGAGACAGGATCTTGCTGTGTAGTTCAGGCTGGCCTTGAACTCACTGTGTAGCCCATGCTGGCCTCAGACTTGTAGCAGTCCTCCTGCCTCAGCCTCCCGAGTACTGGGATTACAGGCATGTGCAGCCACACCCAGCAGTGCTTTATGTTATAAGGCTTTTTCTTCATTGTATTCCTCATCTTTTCTACTGCTGCATACACTGAAATGAGTAAAACAAAGCTTCTGACTGAGAAGAATGATACTGGCTTTTGCCTTGGCCATGATCTTAGCATTTATATTTCTCATCTATTTTAATGTATTTATTCATTATATTGTTTGAAATAATGAAAGATACTAAGTCATCATATAAAGCAGTGTTGAAGAACCAAAATGTAAACACAGTACTTCAGGCTTCAAGAAGCCTTTGATCTGTTATTATTTATCCCTGCCTCATACAAAACCAGCCATAGACCATATGTCTTAGTCACTTTCTCTTGGCTGGAACATAGTACTTGACACGGGCAACTTTATTTTGGCTCATGTTTTTAGAGGTTTCACTCCACAGGCAGCTGACTCCAGGGAAAAATGGCATTCTGGGGTGACACCATGAACGAAAAGCTGCTAGTATCATGATAGCCGGGAAGCAGGGAGCCCTGCCACATAAAGTCCTGGGGCCCCTCTCTTCTGAGCAGACCCCACCTCCTCAGCTCACATTTGCCTGTGGCACCCCATGATTCAGTTGCCCTTCCAAAAGCCCTGCCTATGAGCAGCTGAGGCTTTGGGGAGACATCTAAATGTAAACCATAACAAGTTCAAGCCCTGAACTACACCATAAGACCCTGCCTAAGAAAAAAGTATAACTGCATGATCATAGCTGGGTTCTAGTAAAACTTATTCACAAGATCAGTTGGCCAAAGCCTGTTCTAGTGTGACTCTCATTTTAAATGACCATCTCAAATTCATGTATAATTCAGCTGCTTCCTCCAGCAATTGTTTTTAGGGAAAATAATAAGCATTTGTGCTAGATGTGCTACATGTGGTTTGGTTTGGTTTGGTTTTTTTTCCCCTCCATAAGCTATTTTTAAAAACTAAAGCAGAAGCCAAGGTGATGATGCATGCCTGAAATCCCAGCACTTGGGAGGCTGAGTCAGGAGGATTGCTACGAGTTCGAGGTCAACCTGAAACTACATAACAAGACCTTGTCTCAAAAAAAAAAATTTTTTTTTTATACTAAAGCAGAGGCAGGCTTTGATATGCAGCTCTCATCATAGCTACTTGAGAGGCTGAAGTAGAAGGGTCACTTGAGTGGCATTGCAGGCATATGCCACTGTGCCCAGCTGTCTTGATAAGGGTTTCAGTTACATTAATGTGTATCATATTTTATAAAATGTATACTTTGGACATTTCATCGTATGTAATTTTATATCAAAGAGAAAAAAGCTGTGGACAATTCTAAGCAATGGTAAACTGCCTTGTTGAGATATTTAGGAAAAGTATTTTCACATCTGATATTTTCTTGTAACTGTACCAGAAGTGAGGAGGGATGCATGGGAATGTGAGAAAGCAATTCTAGCAAGGTGTCAGTGCCAGTTTGTAGGTAGTAAGGGTACCAGTGCTCACTGGAAAACCTTTTAAAGCAATGTATTTTTAAAAGCAAACAGGATGTCCTTGAGTTTAGGAATACTTGCTGAAATATTGAAAAGTAAACTCAGTGTCTGCCATTTACTTTCAAATGATTGAGCAGTATATGAGTTTATATCAAAATGCAGATTTAGGAGAACGTTTTAAGTATGAGGCTGGGAGGGTGGCTCCCAACACAGGTGTGTGTCGACTAAGCATGTTGGCCCTGGGTTAGATCCCCAGCACCTCAAAAAGAAGGGGAGAAAAGGATCAGAGTGAAGGGTTAGTTTAAGAGTATTCTTTTTTTGACTTTTTTGGAAGTGTTAAACTTTCCTCTTTTGTTTTATGTTTTTGTTTTGGGTTTTTTTTTTTTTTTTTGTACCAGGGATTAAACCACTTGGACAGGCACTTACGCTGCTGAGCTAAATATTCAACCCTAAATTTTCAAAATAAAAAGGTTTTAAAAAGATCAGAATCAATCACTTATTAATATGACGCTAAAACTGGTTTTAGCGTCATATTTCCCATTGGTTTTGAAATCTGGGCAAACCTAGGTGGGCGTGGTGGCGCATGTCTGTAATCCTAGCACTTGGAAGGCCAAAGCAGGAGGATTACTGCAAGTTTGAGGGGAGCCTGGACTAGATAGTGCATTCAAGGCCAGTTTGAACTACAGAGTGAGACCCTGTTTCAAAAAAAAAAAAGAAACCAATCAATCTAGCCAAAGCTAAATGCCAGATACAAGATATGTGAAAAGAATAGGTATTAGGATTGAAAATGGCGCCAGTAAGCATTTTGGCTTTACCTTTAACAGAACAGATGCTTTTAGGAGGCTACCATCACTGCCCAGGCCTGTGCTAGGAGGTGGACACTCCATTCTGCCTTGCTCTGAACACTAGGTTTCCTCTTGCAAGGGCAGCCAGCACCTTCTGAAGAAGGCACCTCCTGACTCCTCAGACTATGTCCCCTCACTGTCTGCATCCGTGGAGTCATTATGTGCAGGATTTAGTCACTGATGCTGGTGAATATTAGAAGTTAGGCAGCTCAGTGTCCCCAGGCCTACCCAGCTTAAAAGTTTATGGGAATATTTAACCCTGTCTCCCTCAAATAAGTAAATATATTGTTGATGATTTGAGAAGAAAAGTATATGATAAATTACTTTGAAGTTAATGGTAGGCCAGTGCATGGTGAGCATATGCTTTAGCTGTGTAACCACCTATTGCAGTTTCTCAAGTCAATTTGAAAGCAAATATTAGCAAACGTTACTGTACAGGCTCAATTGCAAATTTCTCTGAATATATTTGTCTAACTGTTTTTAGCAATAAATAGGTCTCAAGCGAAGAACAGTAGGTACTTGACAAATCTGAATATCAGAAAGGGAAAAAGCACTCTTTAAAAGAAAGCCCACATCTAGCTGCAGGAGTGTTTATCTTTTAGTTTTGTCTTGTTTTATTGGGGATTGTCTCTGTACTATGCCGCATCTCCATCCCCTTTTTGATTGTTTATCGTAAGACAAGATCTTGCTAAGTTGCACAGGCTGGACTAAAATTTGCAGTCCTCTTGCCCCATCCTCCAGAGTGCCAGGATTATAGACGGGCACCAACACACCAATCTCTCTCTTTTTTTTAAATTCATGACCTTGTGCTTGCTAGGCAGGCGCTTATGCTGCTGAGCTAAATCCCTAGCCCTATATACCAGTCTTTTTAAAAAATTACTTAAAAACCATTTTTGTTGTTTTGTTTTTTGTTTTGGGTTTTTTTGTTTGTTTGTTTGTTTTTTTGGTCTTTTTAAGACAGGATCTCACTCTGCAGTTCAGGCTCACTTGGTAGCCCCGGGCTGGTCTTAAACTCACCAAGATCTTTCTTCCTTAGCCTCCCCAGGCATGTACCTCCACATTCGGCTTTTAAAAGCAGTTCTTTTCTGGTGGCCTGCTTTTGTCCAATCAGGTTTATCTTATCTGTCAATGGATTAAGTGCTTAGCAGACTAATAATAGAAACCCCAGACTTCACTGATACCTCTCCCTGCTTGTCATACGTAGAAGCAAATTTGAGTCCATATACTTATCTGTATTTCAAAAAGGAACATGTAACTATCACCTACTAAAAAGAATTAGACTGTTTTACTTCCATTTCCAGAGATTTCCAAGGAGGACCTAAGGAGGTCTGCACAGACAGTCACCAGCACTTTTAGGCAGCACGGTGTACAGACCTCACCAGGTGTTTCAACTAAAGGCAGACAGCTAAGGCGCACCCAGTTGTTCAGGATCAGCATTTGCCTACATGGGTGCTGCCCGTTGATATTTAGCATGTTATTGATAAGCATTAAGCAAGTTACAATATTTATTCCCTTTTTTATTCCTTTTTAAAACAATGTATTTTTATGGACATATAGTGGGAAGAGTGATATTGTTGCACACTTTTGTGCATTTCTTTGACAGCGAAGTCACCTACTGCTAATATATTGAGTCTTTTCTGGTAGTACCTGTCATATACCTTCCAGGAAACTTCTCTGTAGGCTTTTGAGAAAATGAGAGTGAAGTAGTTTTCCGTGTTATTAAAATGACGTGGCCCTCACGGTACTCTGAGAGGACCTCAGCTGCAGGCCACCCTTAGTGCCCAGTGCTTTGAGCCCTTATAGCTCTGTTTCCCTTCCGGAAACAGCTCGGTGTCTTGGGCATGCTTCCCACTCAGCAAGTGAAGTTACTGTTGCAGCTTTTTGACAGATGATTGTAGGTCACATTATGGCTTAACATTAATATATTTTTGTTTCTTCCTTCCTTCAGGTGCATTTGGTGTCAGAAAACAGTACATGATGACTGCATGAAAAGCAGCTTAAAGAATGAGCAGTGTGATTTTGGAGAATTTAAAAACCTCATCATTCCGCCGAGTTACATAGCTTCCATTAACCAGATGCGTAAAAACAAAAAAACAGATTATGAAGTGGTAATTAGAGTTTGTATGATTGATTATTAAGAAATTGTTTAAATCAGTATATAAATATGAGAAGTTAGGAGAATGGGGGACAAAAAGAAGTGGTATGTATCATATACAGGTAAATTCCCTGTGATGAATGTGATCAATATATATATCCAAAATGTACCAGTTTTTTAAAGGTGATAAACAAAATTTTAAAAAACAAAAAATCAGGGTCAGAAATAAATTTAAATAGAAGTGTAACACTAAAGGGAGATATAAAATGTCGTATGGTAAACCATGAAATCCTACCCAGTTCCTAAGGATGGCACAGATTTTGGTTCTTGAGTTCTTGCTCATGTATAGAGAGAAATTGGAAGTCCTAGTGATTTCTAAACCACTGGTGTTAACCTTCTGTTTAAACATTGAAGTTTTTGGCAGGATTTATGGTGTGATCACATGTATATGAAAATTGGTGTAAATATATCTCTGTCTTTAGCCTGTTCTTAAGGAATAATTACAAAGATTTAACAGGTTTATATCCAGGTGTGGTATGCATGCCTATAATCCTGGCATTCTGGGAGGCTAAAGCAGGGGGATCAGAAGTTCAAGCCCTACCTTGAGAACTTTGTGAATTCCAAGGGCTAAGGATGCACCTCAGCACAACACCTCGGCTTCAATCCCCAGGCCTGTGTGTGTGTGTCCCCGCCAAAAAAAAGAAGGAAATTTTTTTGACACATTTATTTCATGCTGAAATATAGTTGAGCCAAAATAATTAAACAGTTTTATAATTGTTCTTTTTTCAAATTAAGACTTTATATCTCCAAAATATGAGCTTAAAGTTTTGAGTTGAGGAGTTTTATTAGAGAGAAAGCCTGATTCAGCATAGTCCAGGCTGCCCTGGAAACTCCCAGCAATCTTCCTGCTTCAGTTCCAATACTGAAGTTACAGGTATGCATCACTTTGCCTGGTGCACTTTAAAAAATTGGGGGGGAATGGGGTTTGAGTCAGACTCTCACCATGTATTTCAGGATGGCCTTAACTCACTGTGTAGTCCATAATAACCTCAGACTATGGGCAGTCCTCCTGCCTTGCCCTCTGAGGTGCTGAGAATTAAACTTTTAATGTGATACTTTTTTATTTTAGTGTACAACCCCTTATCTGAATTCAGTGTGTATTATGTATGTGCAAATGTGCCAGAATCTGAAACGTTTCGGTTCCATGCATTCCAGATAGAGGAAACTCAATCTATGGTTTTTCAGGTGTTTCAGCTCTGCAATTTTTTTGGTGGGGAGGATACCGGGAATCGAACTCAGGACCTCACACTTGCCAGGCAGGCACTGTGTCACTGAGCTAAATCTCTGGCTGAGCCCTGCAGTTCTGTGAGAAAATAAATGATTTCTGGTTGAGTTAGAAGTAAAATTAGAGCAGTGAGTGACAGTTACTGAGAAATTTTCAGCTCAAATCAGAAGTTTCTACTAAGTGGAATGGGATGTCTCATTATTGTTCCTGCCTTGTGTGATTATCCATGCATATGCTGGATAAGTTACGTAGAATAAGGTAGAAGAGAATTTTAAATTAAGTGGAAGTTAATCTCTTACGTACTCTTCCATTCTTAGACTGACTTAATTTTCTTCCTATATTGGCATAGTTCTTATTTCAATAAAGTATAGCATGATTGTTATCAAAGAATAAAAATTTAAAAATGCTAAACCCTTGTCATTCATATTAATTTTCACAGTTAGCATCTAAGTTCGGAAAGCAGTGGACCCCATTAATAATCCTGGCCAACTCTCGGAGTGGAACTAACATGGGAGAAGGACTATTGGGAGAATTTAGGATTCTGTTAAATCCAGTGCAGGTAACCAAATAGAAAATTTTCCTTCCTTTATTAATCTTGATTTTAGCTCTTCTGTCCCTAGAATGCAATGGTTATTAGTACTTTAAATCACTAATCACCTAGTATAAGAAAGAATAATATAAACGGTTAAGTCATTCAGATATGTGGAAAATCAGAAATGAAATCACCTAGCAGTCCCACTTCCAATAGTCTTCCCAAGAAAGATGAAAACACTTCCCACAGATTTGCACACACACGTTCATAGCATTATTCATAGTAACCTGTGAGTAGAAATAGCCTGACTGTCCATCAAGTGGTAAGTGGAATGAAATACTACTCAGTGACATAAAGGAGCCAGCTCTGTCCATGAACTTCAGAGAACTTTATGCTGAGCGCAAGAAGACAGGCCCAAGGGACCACATGTTGCGTGCTTCTGTCTGAGTGACTTCCCGGAAAAGGCGTATCCGTAGAGACATTAGGTTGCATGGTGCTGGAGCTAGACATGGGGAGTGACTGCAGAGAGACATGGAAGGATCTTACCAAGGCAACAGAAATTTCCTGGCTCTTTCCTGTAATCCCAGTACTCTGGAAGCTGAGACAAGAGGATCATTGTGAGTTCAAGACTAGTCTGAACTGTGCTGTAGTAAAACCTTGTCTCGGAAAAAAACCCCAAAACTCTACCTGTAATACAGACACAAATGTGTGTCCTGTCTCCTTAATGGTGTAAATATTTTTCCCTGTTGCAGTGAAGTCCTAGTAAGTACACATGACTAAAATAATTAAACGCGTATATCATAACTTACCCAGTTTGTACTTTTATAAAGAGCACCAAGTCTCTCTTTTTGAGATGGTTTAGCTTTGCAGATCAGGCTGGCCTTGAACTCAACTTTTGTAGCCCAGGCTCACCTCCAATTTGAAGTGATCTTCCTGTTTCAGCCTTTTAGTGTGCTGGGATTACAGGCACATGCCACCACACTCAGCTATTTTTGTCTGTTGAAATCATCTTCCCAAGCCTTGCATGGTGACATATGCCTATAATCCTAGCATTCCAAAGGCTGAGGTAGGAGGATCACTGTGAGTGAGTTTAAGGCCAACTGAACCACATAATGAGACTCTGTCTCCAAAAATTTTTTTTCCTAGAGTCATTTATGAATATCAAGAGTTCTTACACCTTTTTTTGTCATTTTATATTTTTGCAAAACTATTTCCCAGGCCAGGGATATAGCTCAGCAGCACAGCGCCTGCATGGCAAGCACAAGTACCTGAGTTTGATAGCCAGTACCAAAAACAAACAAACAAACAAAAACTTTCCTATAAGTTTGTAGTAGCTTGCACTAATGACAGTTTTTTAAAAACCAGTGTAGGTCAGGAGGTATACCTCAGTGGTACTTGTGACACCATAGGTTTGATCTGTCTCCTGTACCACAAAAAAAAAAAAAAAATTATGAAACCATTGAAAAGTTAATGTGGTTTCACATGAACAGAGAGAAGGCAGTGTCATACAATAAGTAGCTGAATTTGTGTTTCAGTGTTCGGTTATCTCCGGAATGACAGGCCAGGGACTCAGCCTTCTGTGCTTACTGTCCTGGTCAGTGGAGCAGTGTGGCAGAGGAGTCTCAGCGGAAATAGTGTCGCTTGGAGCCTGGCTGTGGCCACTGCTATCACTTACCCTCTCTCAGTCCAGCGACAGGAAGTTGTCCACTGAGCTGAAGGACAGCACTGGGTAAAAATAATTTTTTGTTCTTCATTTCTAGGTTTTTGATGTAACTAAAACTCCTCCTATCAAAGCCCTGCAACTCTGTACTCTTCTTCCCCATTACTCAGCTCGGGTCCTGGTTTGCGGAGGGGATGGTACTGTGGGCTGGGTCCTGGACGCAGTTGATGAGATGAAGATTAAGGTATCCGATTTTGGTTTTGTTTTTTTTTAAGGTATCCAATGTTAATGTCTGTACTGGAGCTGGGTTTTCGCTCAGTGATACAGGGTCTAGCTGGTGGCTGCTGTTGTCCAGCACACACAGCCTGCACAGGGCCTTGGTTCTGTCCCCAGCGCTTTAAAAATCGAGCAAAACTACAAAGCATTTCTAAGATAAATATACAGTGTTTTTTATTCAGATGAATATTAGAAGACATTGCCACTTTGAATAGTAAAAATATATGATTAAGTAGTTAACCTTCAGTTTATTTGTATTTCTATTGCTTTGTTCTTTACATTTTACAAAATATTATGCTACAACTAGTCTAAAGAAAGAAGTCTGAACTATATCTTTCTTACTCTAGGGACAAGAAAAATACATTCCACAAGTTGCAATCTTGCCTCTGGGAACAGGCAATGATCTGTCCAATACACTGGGCTGGGGTACAGGTTATGCGGGTGAAATCCCAGTTGCACAGGTCTTAAGAAATGTAATGGAAGCAGATGGAATCAAACTAGATCGGTAAGGTACACTTTACCAAATAGCTGTTTCTTGTGATTTCAGAATGTTTGACCTTGATTCCAGCACTCAGGAAGTGAGGCGGGGGATTGCCGGGAGTTCAAGGCCAGCCTGAACTGCATAGTGAAACTATCCCAAAAAGACCAAAAATAAATATGTGTGTGTGTGTGTGTGTGTGTGTGTGTGTGTATCTCGTTTGGTTTTAGATGAAATTTTTTGTAGCTCTAAACTTAAACATAATTTAAATATAAAAGACTTTATATGTAGATGTGCAGATGCTGATACCTTGTTTTGTTCCTGTGTTTTAACTTATGCTAAGTATGTCCCCAAAATTTGCAAGTTTACTTAGCTGTAGATACTTTCTCAATGCTGTCTTAATAGAAAGACTTCATCTATTGTGCATCCAGAGTACAAGTGTTTTGGTAAAAAATACCAATTTTTTTTTAAACTTCTATTTTATAGGTGGAAAGTTCAGGTCACCAACAAAGGATATTATAACCTAAGAAAACCCAAGGTATGTTTTCAGAGCTTTAGTTCTGAGTAGTTTCTTGTTGTTGTTGTTGCTGGTGTTGTTGAAGAATTTGGGGTAGTGTTTTTGGTTTTTTGAGACAGGGTCTCACTGTAGTTCAGGCTAGGCTTGAACTCATGGCAACTCTGCCTCACACTCTCGAGTGCTGGGATTGTAGGCATCTGCTACGATGCCTAATTTACTGAGTAATTTTAGCAGGCAAACCTGGAGCACTGGCACAGATACAGCAGTCTGGCAGGACAAAGGGACCTGGTGCTTAGCTCAAGGGAATTGATCATGGGGCAGAAGAACCCATGTGCCCACATCACTACTAGTCTCTGAAGCACAAGAGAGAGCAGTATTCTAGACCTAGGGTGTGGTGGTAGAGCTTAGCACATGTGGAGGCCCTGGGTTCAATCCCCAGTACCACAAAAATAAAAATACATTCTCGTCAGGCGTGTGGGCACATGTCTGTAATCTCAGCACCCTAGAGGCTGAAACAGGAAGATCATCACCAATGCAAGACCAGCCTGGGCAGCATAGCGCATTCAGAGCAAACCTTTGTATGTGTGTGTGTATATTTTTTTCCCCTAGAGATAATGTGAACACTAGGGCACTAGGGCAGAAACAAGGGGACTCTTAGGATGAGGACAAGTCTGAGACCTTTTAAAGTTAGAACTGGTCAGAACCAGGCAATTGACTGATATAAAGGGGAAGGAAAATATGTATTACTACTAGATTTTTAATTTTTATGTTTGGGTGTGTGGAAGTGACATATTAACCAAGATGAAGATAGTTTCAGGCTTTGCAGAAAGAAAATGAGTTAGAGTGGGAACATCAGCCCAAACAGCTGTGCAGCGCTGCAGGAGAGGCTGGCAGCTGGGCTTGCCACCCAGGAACAGAGCAGAGCTGGATGTGGATTGTGGGGCCCTGGCCGAGTAGGGGAGGGAGAGGAACTAGGAACACAGGACAACAGCCCTGGGATGGAGTGGAGAGCCTGAGCACAGCAGGCAAGGTGCTGAGCAGCTGGGGCACAGTGGTGAGGAACCTTTGAGGTGGGAGGGCTGGAGTGCACCTCATTACACACACGTGCGGAGGGAGGCTGGCGGTACGGAAGCCCCGTTTCTCACAACTTCACCAGGTATTGTAAAATAGCTTTGTGCAGAAAGGAAAGACAGAAGCGTTTGGTTTTCAGAAAGAACCCAAGACTGAGGTTTGCGTATCTCCATGGGTCAGCAGCTCCTTTGGTCACTCTCCTTTACCCTTTCCCCAGGAATTCACAATGAACAACTATTTCTCGGTTGGACCCGATGCGCTTATGGCTCTCAATTTTCATGCTCATCGTGAGAAGGCACCGTCTCTGTTTTCTAGCAGAATTCTTAATAAGGTGTGTTGGATAAAATAACATTTTCCGCTTATCTCCGAAGATACAGTAAAAAATGAATGGTTCAGCTATATTGAGCACTCTTAAATTTGGATCAGGCTAACGAATGGAAGCACTGCCGTGTCTCTTGCAGGCTGTCGTGTTCTTACATGTAATCTCCTGACAGACTTTCAAGTCAGAATGTTTCATAGCACATTGTGCTCAGGTAGAGACTAAATGAAATAAAGTGGTCTTCAATGACAGCTAAAATTGCAAAGAAACTTTAGGCAAAATAAGTTTTTGGCTAAACTATTAATACAAAAGCATCTTCATTGACTCAGAAAATGGCTTGAGGCAAGAGAGGCGAGGCTCGTAGCTGTGCTTTCTGGCAAGGGGAGTCCTTTAATGGGAGTCGGGTTGGGGAATTCTTATAGTGACTTTTGGCAACTAAGCAGCTGCATGTGAAAATAAAATGTAAAGCAGTTGTACTGCTGGTTCTGTTTTACAAATATTTCAAGGTTTAAAAATTACCATAGTTATGAAGCAATAAATACTGCTATTCATACAGTTAGTAATTAGCATTTCAGTACTTCTGTCTTTCTGGAATCAATAGTGAGTACTAAATGTTTGCTAGATTTATCTATATTTTGTTTCGTGTTTGCAAAATCTGTAAAATTGACAATATCTTATTTTCATTTTTGTAGGCTGTTTATTTGTTCTATGGAACCAAAGATTGTTTAATACAAGAATGTAAAGATTTAAATAAAAAAGTTGAGGTAAGCTACTAATACTTTTTTTTTCTTTCTTTTTTTTTGTACGGGGGGATTGAACTCACGATGCCACTGAGCTAAATCCCCAGCCCTAATATTTTTTTCTAAAGATAACTTCTAAATTAAGATTTTTAATAACAGTACTGCAGTTTCTCTCTCTTTTTTTTTTTTTTTGGTCTTTTTGAGACGGTCTTGCTATGCAGTTCAGGCTGGCCTGAGCTCACTTTGTAGCCCAGGCTGGTCTTAGGCTCACAACGATCCTCCTGCCTCAGCCTCCCAAGTGCTGGGATTACAGGCATGAGCCACCACGCCCCGGCAGTACTACAGTTTCTCTTAACATATTTTGCTAACATACATGGAGCATATATTTGTGTACCAGGCTCTTTGGTGTTATATGCACATTATCCCTAATTCTTATACGACCCTAGAAGACAAGTTGTTACTGTGTTCCCATTAAACAGAAAAGAGGATTGTGTGAAATCAGCAGTGTGCCCACATTCACAGGCCTGGGTGGGCAGGATTGGAACTCAGGTTTATCTAACTCCAGAATCTGTTTAACTGATGTGCTAGATGATAGAAAATTTAAAGTTGTGAAGTATTATGCCCGCTTTGTGAACTCTCAGAAGTTTAGAAGCAAAGTTCAAATACTTTGGTGAGGTGTCTGTCTGACATGCTAAAAACTGAAAATGTATAAATAGTAAAAAACAAAATATTAGTGCTCATCACTGTGGTAGCTGTGACATCATGATATGGAAGTCTTGTATATGTTGCTGTCTTGCTTGATTCCACAAAGAATCTGTAACAATTAATGGCAACAGAAACATTAGAAAAAACCCAGAACTACTAAGAAGAGGACATAGTACGCTGTGGGATACAATTTGAGTGACTCCCCTTGAATGCAGAACAATTGCTGCAACTTTTGATTATTATTTCCTTATACTGATACATACAGAGCTGACTATGATATTTCTGTCTTCAGTTGGCTCTAAGCAGTGCAGATAAGGCTAGCAAAGGTACTGGTGTGTAGTCTCTAAACCCATCAGACAGTCTCCTGTTTCCTCGCACAGTGCTCTCTCTGAAATGTGTAAGCACAGTGGGATGGTAGAGCCACTCCAGCTCCAGGAATGTCAACTGAGTATGAGCCTCAAAGTAAAGAGGCTATGACTCCACAAAAGTTTACATCTCAAAAACTAAAGCAACAGCCTCCAAAAACAATTCAGTTGCTACCTTAATTAAATTATGCAATCTGACTCTTCTGCAAGTCCTTATCTCTGCATTTTGCTTGCCTACTATGTGCCTCTGCCCAGGACCACAGAAAGGATCTGGAGAGGGGTCAGATAGCCCAGTGTGAGAAGAGGGGGTCGCTGCCTTAACAAGGCCACCAGCATGAGGCTGATGCGGTGTGAGTTGGGAATAGGTATGTGTACTAATAGTGGACCCTGTAGTAACTGACCGCCTGCATTTCTCTAAAGCTAGAACTGGATGGCGAGCACGTAGAACTGCCTAGTTTGGAAGGCATCATCGTTCTCAACATCGGCTACTGGGGCGGCGGCTGCAGGCTCTGGGAAGGGATGGGAGACGAGACTTATCCCCTGGCCAGGTGCGCACCTTCGTGCTGTTGCGTATCACTGTTCCCTAGAGCGCGCTGTTGTCCTTTGTGACTTTCCCATTTCCTGAATAGATTTTATCTTCCATATACTTCTTAATATAAGCACTTAGTAAGTCCATGGCCCACCTGTGTGAAAACATAGCTGACCTCAGCGGAGCCTGTGGCATGTGCCTGTGATCCCACACTCTGGGAGGCTGAGGCAGGACTGCAAGTTCAAGCCCCACCCAGGCAACTTAGTGACTTAATGAGACCTAGTCTTAAAATAGGAATTTAGAAAGTACTGGGTGTGTAGCTCTGTGCAAAAGGTCGGCGTTTAGTCCCCAGTACTAGAAAAATTAAATTGTCCCATAATTTCAGCACTTGGGATGTGGAAGCAGCATTGCTGTGAGTCCAATCCCAGCCTGGGTTGCATAGCGAGTTCTAGGCTGGCCTGGGCTATAGAGCGAGGGCCGGTGTCCCAGAAACAACAAACAGTACAAAAGGAACTGCCGTCAGCCAGCTGACCTGATCTTCTTGCGTCATGTAACTCATGTTCCCACGTCCTCTTCTAGGCACGATGATGGTCTGCTGGAAGTCGTCGGAGTGTATGGGTCTTTCCACTGCGCTCAGATTCAAGTGAAGCTGGCAAACCCTTTCCGCATAGGACAGGCACACACGGTGCGGGTAGGTAGCTTGCGAAGCCCTTCCTCACAGGGATTTGTGGTTCTTGCTGTGGGTTACCCTGCACCAGGGGCTTACAGGGTGGGGAGGAAACAGGAGAGGAGGTCCTCAGTCCAGCTGAAGAAACAAAGTGTCCACTGAAAATGAATCCCTAGACAACTCGTGAATTAGGATGTATTCAGATTGCTTTTGTACAGTCAAAATGCATGGTGGCCTTGGTGGCACACTCCTGTCATCCCGGCAGTCAGAAGGCTGAGGCAAGAGGGTTGTCATTAGAGTTCCAGGCCAACCTGGGATTCATAGTGAATTCAAACCCGGCCTTGAGAGATCCTTCAAAAAACAACCAATAAGTACATAAATGCAGCAGGGTTAGGGGCGCACAGCCGATACCAGCAAACCTCTCTGAACGTTCCTGGGCTGCCCTTCTTCTAATACTCGTTTCCTGCCCCCAGCTGATGTTGAAGTGCTCCATGATGCCGATGCAGGTGGATGGGGAGCCGTGGGCCCAGGGGCCGTGCACTGTCACCATAACGCACAAGACACATGCTTTGATGCTTTATTTCTCTGGAGAGCAGACGGATGACGACATCTCCAGTGCCTCGGATCAAGAGGATGGAAGGGAAGCTGAATACACAGCTGAAGACCTGCGAGTTTAGTGTACCGTCCACACAAACCAGAGTTACACGCTCATCTGGAAGAGGAATCCTGTACCAGCTGTTCATTATTTACTTCATTCATAGCACAACGGGTACATGTTTATGTACATAGCATTTCCCAAACAGCCAAACTTCTAGTTCTTACACCTGTTTTTTTTCCATAAGAGAATTTGAGCATCTATCACTAACTCTGAAAAAGCCCAGAGAGCCTGAAAATGAAATTTTTTCACAACTGTGTTAAGAGAGAGGGGCTGTCCCTGAAGTATGCACTGTCTCTTTCCTTATTCTTGAACAACACACTCTGGATGGACAGCACATGGGTGGGAAGATCCTTTCTATTGTCACTTAATGTGGTGGCGCCATGCCACGTTAAAAGCCAGCTTGCTCCTTGAGAAAGGAGATGGTTCGTGTTAACCAGTGTGGTTTACACTGGGCGTCCTGTGGCAGCAGCCAGTGAAGATTTTCTGTGCCCCCAGATGAGTGAATCCTTACCAACTGATTTCCAGAAAACCCCTTGAGGTGGCTGTAAGAGAAAGGCAAAACTTAAAATGTTTAAGGCCTCCAGTTTTCTTTTCGTGGTGCTGGAGATTAAACCCAGAGCCCTGCAAGTTCTAGGCAAGTGCTGTACACTGAGCTGTACCCCAGATCCAGAATCTTTTTTTTTTTTTTTTTTTTTTTTTAATATCAAAAGAGAACCAGGGCATGGGTTTTTAGCTCAGCAGGGTAAATGCCTGCCTGGCAAGTGCAAGATCATGAGTTTGATCCCTGGTACCAAAAAAAAGAGAGAGCGAGAACTATATAGGTGAATTATTCTAACATTTAGAGCACTTGGATAGAAAGTTACAGGTTCCAAACTGGACAGCTCACCAACCTCTGTTTTAGTTAAAAGACTGTCCACAACTCAAGAAAAAAAAAAAAAAGAAACTCAACAATCAGATGAATTGCTCAAAACACAAAGTCAAAGCTTTGTGTTTGAGTCATGTTTTCAAGGTTCGGTAGTCTTGTCATACTTTGGAATACAGTAAGTAGTCTTTTATGTCTGAAGTACTTGACAAAATATCCCCTTGGGGAAGGTAAGTGGACAGAAGTCTCTGATAAAATGTTTCTATCATATTTATTTTAAAGTGAAAAAGAGATCTATATTTTTAACTTGTTCATTATTTATTGTGGTAGAGCACTTGTGTTCAGTGTTTACACTGGTATTACATAGCTTTATTTAATAAATTAAATTGGTCACACAAATGGTGCAACTGCTACTCCCCACCAGACAGTTACATCCTGACTCAGTTCCCCTGACAGATGCATTACCAAGGTGTCCTCACTCCTCAGGGTGCAGGGAGGGCATGAAAAGTACTGACGCCTACTGCTTTTGGAAGACTAAAAGCTATGTTTCTCTTCTGTTTGACCCTGGATTGCTGAATGCTTCTTGGAGGCTGGTTCCGTGGCCTTCCACTAGAGGGCGCACTGCTACCGGTGTCAGCAGGCAGCCCTGTCCCTGCAGCCTGGCACACCCAGGGGGTCTGCCCTGGAGTTTTTCTGACAGATGGCCCGTTTGTGAGCTTGGTGGCTTTCACGATGAAATTACTATAATCTCTGCGAGATGTAACCTCCAGAACACCATGAGCCTCTTTGAAGGGTCCGTTATGAAGCTGTCACCCACAAGTTGGCATAAACTCCAAATGTGAGTCACCTCAGGCTGTAAATGTGTGCCGTGCCCAGTGCATCATATAGGATGCTTTTAGTTTGCTCGATTAGCCCCTTCCAGATCTCCACAGAAGATGCTAACAGCCAGGATTTGACAGGCTTTGTTCCCAATTCTGTCTTCAGCTCATTCCTGCTCGCAGAAGTGGTGGAAGAGTTTTTGTCCATTTTCTTTCATGAGATGATCATGTTTTGAGCATAGTGAGATTTATCCTTTAATTCATAATCAAAATAGTTACAAATACCACATTTCATAAATACAGCATCATATCCGCTTTGCTGTGGGCTGTACTATGCCCAAAACTTGTAGTGCTAATTAATTGCAGTAGGAACAAAGTAAGTAGTTTGGGAAGTAAGAACTCAACCGAAAACGACATAGGTTTTTTTAACTGCTGAAACTACTCTAACCACAGTGTTACACTGGATTTAGGACAGGTTAGTGTGCAATGCCTTCATTTATTTAAACAAATTGATTTTTCAGTTGTAATTTGGTGAGGTACTTTTTTTTCCTACTGACCTTTCATGAAGTTTTTCTGCTGCCTTATTCACTCAGACCTAATTTTTCTGTAGGAAAGTTATTTCAGATTCTGTGCATAAAACGTGATATTATCTTGTGTCAGCAAAATTCATCTACCTTTTTGGGTACTATTTACCTAGCATTTCTGATAAATATACAGGCATGTGCCTTGATTAAATGAATACAATTTGTATGACTTCATGTTCACAAGTTATATATTAGGATAATAATTGTTTATATTACCAGGGATCCTATACATTATAAGATGATTTATTATAAAAGTTTTCCATTAAAAATTGTCGATATTGAATAACGTCTACATTCTCAGGAAGAACTATAAGAAGTAAATCTTACTTGGTATGTTTCCACATTTCTCTCATCTTTAACTGCCCTCATATATTCCTAACTCCTGTAAACTTAGTGGCTTAAATAGTGAAAATCTGGCAGCTCGTTAGGTGATAATTTTGTCAAAAAGAACTTTAGGAAATAATTTTCAGTGCCAGAAATCAACTGGTATATTTCAGAATGTAAGTGGCCTATTGAGATGAGATAATATAAACATTTTAGGTTTTCTGCAACTGCTTACTCGCTGTGAACCTGTAATGTGTCTATTGTTTCTAAAACTTTTATAGTAAAAATTGTTTATTTTTGTAGGGTGTGTTAAAAATACGTATTTGCTTTCCAAGTACATTGGCCTAAGTAGAGTCATAAAATGTATACTGACTCAGAATATTGCATTCGTTTTTACACGGTAAAAATGAGTACTACCAGCATGTCAAAGGAAATAATTTGTAATACTAACTGAAATTTTAGCTAATTTATGTAATAGGGTTTTTAATTTGCACTAACTGGAAAACTTTAGTGGTTATGATAATTTATATGTTAAGGTACACCTGAATACATAATTAGAACACAAAGTCAAGAATAGGTGGTTTGGGGCAGCTTTCTTTCAAAATGATAATAGTGAAGCAAGAACCAGCATTTTGTACGTAGAAATAGTTTTATTTTTAAATTTTACCCTATTTAGGCTAGTGGAATATTAGATTTATTTTTAAAATCTAGAAATGTAAAAAACCTCAGTTTTGTTCTGTCCCCATTGAACCAAAGGTAAACAGCAACAAGACAGGAAAAGTGCAGTTTTGCTTTTAAAACATGCGCCTCTGCCCTGCCGGATTCCTGCCATGGGACCTGTCTCCTTTGCGAAGCGTGGGAAGCAGGTGGGCAGCTGGCCAGGGTGGGGCACTCGTGTCATCCCAGGAGGCACTCGGAAGGCTGCCGCGAGTTTGACCCAGCCTGGGCTCCAGAGTGGACCCCGTCTCCAAAAACCAACCAACCAAACAAAAAGCACCACGTAGGCTGGTGGTGGAGCCCAGCTCTGCCTCTGGAGAGGAGATGTAGGAGTTCAGGTTTGTGTTAATAGGTACCCAGGCCATTCTGCTGCACGCTTAAATCCAAATTGGAAAGCCGATGGTGTGGCCAGGAGAATGCCTTGCACAGAGATTCAGTTAATCGGATGCTCAGGTCGGTCTTCCCTCTCTCTGCCAGCTGCTGTCTCCCCCAGAACTGCCCTTCAGTCTTTTCATCCAGATTAATGTATTTGCTGTTGTGCAAAAACTGGTAGCTGCAGTTTGTGCGTGGAACTGGAGTCTAGTCTGCTCATGGTGAGGAGCTGCTTTGGGGCTCAAAGGGGGGACCCCAAGGGATCACACAAAGGGGTGTGAGCTGGGAGGCTCTACCCCGCCTCCCTCTGGCCCTGCAGCCCATGGGTGCCAGGTGCAGCTCAAGATTGCAGCAGCTAAAACACTTCCTCCATTTGAAAGTGACTCTACTCCTTTTGAGTTTGTTGTTGTTTGCTTTTGTTTCTGAAACAGAGTCTTACTATATAGTCCAGGCTGGCCTTGAACTCACGGTGTAGCTCAGGCTGGCTGGGAACTCTGTGATTTTCCTGCCTCAGCCTTCCAAGTGCTGGGATTACAGGTGTGAGCCAGCTTGCCAGGCTGCCTCTACTATTTCTTTGAAAGAGTTCGGGAGCCACTACTTTAATGACTCTTGTCACCCGTTTGATTTTCTGTTGATTTTACATTTGCAAACACCTCATGTTTATTGTTGAAAAGACTACTCTAGAGATCTCAGTGCTGCTTGGAATGTGGCCACTTGACCACTGCGCAGTTTTTAAGGGCATTTTGTTGCAGACTAAAGCAGCACCCTTAGCCTCTTTTCCTATTTATAATTTTCGTGTAGAAGTGACCTGTGTATTTAATTGATTTTTATGTAAATACATATTTAGTCCAGTAGTGCTGACAGTATAGTCAGTGAACGAGGCTTGCAGGTCTCATAAAGGTACATTCCAAGATTCTGGGGAGAGGACTTTGAAAGTCTGCACTAATACAGAATTTGGTGGGACCCGAATGATGCATTTGGGCACAGAGGCCAGCAGGCACCAAGGGCTCGGCAGCCGCCTAAGGTTGCTTCTGTGGAAGGCGCTGAACAGGAAAGGAGCTGCCCTCTCGGGGACTTCCGTCCTGTACTTTTTGGTGACTGGCGAATCTTGAGAAGGGACAACTGGAAATTGAGATGTTTTCCTTGCTCCTCGGGCACTGTCCAGGCAAGAGGACAGCCTGAGGGATGAGCAGAGTGGCTGAGACCAGTCCCAAGACACTCATCGTCGTCACAGTTGGAAGAGGCTTCTGGGAACCTTGGGCTTCGTGTTTGCTTCCCGGCTGCACACTCGAGCGCCCCAGGACCGCTGCGGTCTGAGTGCGCCAGGCTCAGGATCCTTTCCTGTGAGCCCAGCATGGCTCGCCCAGTCCTCGACCCGAGACTGTCCAGAGGCTGCAGCCAGAGCTCTGCACCACACAGTGACTCCACCTGAGCGGCCACTGCCTCCTGCAGCCTCGAGCTCTGGCCACTGTGCTCGCAACCCCGCTTTATCCCGTGTCCATCACTTTCCTCATGCTGGGTCTGTGTTGTGGTCACTGCCTGCACACACAACTGCGGGTCGAAGCCCTCGATATGTTGAAGGTGTTTACTTGTTTTTAATAAAATTGCAAGTGCAGCACTCAAAGCATAAGGCCCTGTTGTTTCTGACCCCGCTGAGAGAACACGAAGAGCTCGGGTTGTTTCCCCAGTGGTCCTTGGTGCACAGCAGTGCACACCTACTGTGGGGCAAGTTCTCTGTTAGGTGCTTGGGGGAGGAGAAATTCGTATCATGTGGCTTTTCTAGCCTGGAGCACAGGTGTGCACATGTCCCATCCTTGCACCCGGCGCCTGGCATAGCTGGGCACAAAATGGAGTGAAATGAGTCGGAGGGGGAAGCCCCAGTGCCCTCGCTGGCAGGCGTCGGGCAGGTCACTTGCTCTGCCTGTGCCTCAATTGTCCTGCACCAAAGCACCGTGTGCCCCCCTGGGGATGCAACCTCAGCAACCTGCAGGAGCCAAAAGATACAGGCAGCTGCTGTGGGGCTGGAAACCAGACTGTGCTACCTGGCGTCCCTGCCCAGCACCTAGAGAGCCGATTTTTGTAGGGGGGAAGAAAAGGCTTTTTATACAAATTGTAAGCTGGACATGGTGACATATGGCTATTGATCCCAGCACTCTGGAGACTGAGGCAGGAGGATTGATGTGAGGCCAGCCTCAACCACATAGTGAGTTCAGCACCAATCTGAACTACATGATAAGACCCTACTTCAAAAAACATGTTTTTAAGCTTTTGTTTGTGCTGATTGACTCCTGTAGCCCACCGAAGCTGTCTGTGGTAAGCACCATTAGAGGTGGGGGGTGCAGCATAGTTTGCCCCAAATGTGTGCTTGCTTCCACTGACCTCATCAGCTTTACAGTGTCAGCTGTGATCTGGGTTTCCAGTGACACTTTGTGACATGTGACTTTTTTACTTTATTATGTAAAATTCTGGCATCCGAGGACTTTAAAGTTTTGAATAACAAATCTACTGGTCAGTGGTATGCAGTGAAATGTTGAGAACAGTGATTTGGTTTTGATTGGTGGGGGGGCTGCGACAAGGTCGCTAAGTAATCCAAGCTGCCCTTGAACCCAAGGCAGTCCTCCTGCCTCAGCCTCCTGAGTACTGGGATAACAGATGTGCACCACCATTGATCAGTAACTTTAAACATGAATTTTACAGCTGTGAAAGCTACTGCAGTTCACAAGGAAAGTGCTCTCTGGTTTCCAGTGGGGTGAGAGAGAAAAGAGGTAAAAGGAGGAAGGAAACAAGCCTTTATTGAGGGTTCGAGAGGGCCGCTGAAAAGATACTGGCACTCTTCAGAAGCTTCAGGGGAACTTAACTGGGGTGGAGCTAAGGGGTGGGCAGAACGACATGCTAGGAGGAGCCTTTGCATGCAGGGAAAAGCAGATTTGACTTGCAAGTTTGCCACAAGAACACAAGGGGCACTGTCCAGAGCTAAAAGAAGCTCCTACATGAGTCACCTGTCACTCATTAAGCAAATAGCTTCTTAAAGAGCTTCAGCGTTACCCAGGCTCTGTATTGCACAATTGTAATTCCAGCAGTAGGGCAGCTCAGGCAAGAAAAATGGCACAAATTTGAGGCCACCCTGGGCTATACAATGGAGTTCAAGGCCAGCCTGGACTAGAGAGCAAGACCCTGTCTAGAAGAAAAAAAAAATGTTGCTTCGCACCTGCATTTGAACCCTTGGCTGATTTTATCATATGTGACGAGGTCTCACTGAGTCACCCAGGCTGGCATCAAAACTTCACCCTCCTCCAACCTTAGCCGTCCACACGGCAGGGACTGCAGGTGTGCTGGACCACACACAGCTGAGCTCTGCTTAAACATGGCCACTTCCTGTAGAGGGCAGGGGCCTCTCTGCAGTGACTTTCCCTTCCTTATTAATGAGCAAGCTCTCACTAAAATGATGCAAGAGCCCTGCTCTAAGTACAGATCATCGGTTAGTGCCAAAGCTCGCCTCAAGGCCATGACTCAGGTAATAGCAGTGGACTTGACCTGTGGGACACCTTGCAGTTGAAGTGCAAGTGGTGCTGGCCTGTAAAGGCAGCAGTGTGGAGGCTGAGGTTGGAGGGTTGTAAGAAATTCAAGGCCAGCTTGGGCTCCAGGGTGAGTTCAATGCCAGCCTGGATTGAAAGGAGACCCTGTCTCCAATAGAAATAAATAGATACATAACTACAAAAGTAAAGAGATGACTGTGAAGAGATAAATTACAGCATTTATTTCTTTAATTCTCTCCCAATAAAGAAGATTGAACACAGAGCCTAGGTACAAATCGACAGCCCCAATACTTGATTACACTTTTGTTTATAAATTCCATGTTACATAATCCATGTTACATCAGCACATGTCACCTGTGTATTTTGTTTGGTTTGGTTTTTTGGCACCAGTGATGAAACTCATGACCTTGTACTTGCCAGAAAGCATGTGTGCTGTAAGCTAAATCTCCAGCCCTTCCAACACCTGAGGACCCTCCCTGGTAGGTCTATGGACACATACTGAACCCATCAGTTTGTTGACCGCCCCACTCCACCTTGTGCCACCCTGCAATGAACAGGTTCTCAGCCAGGGAAGGAGGTCCCCCGGGCACTTGGCCAGCTTCCAGCTCACTGCAGGGCCCAGGCCTCACCTCTCCTCTTCCACGCCTGGGTCAGTAGTTGGTGTCCTCCGTAGTGTTGTCGTGGGCAGCAGGCGGTTCTCCCTCAGGCAGACTTCTTGCCACACACTCAGTCCCGCAGCTGGCAGAGGAGGATCCAGGTCCATGCCTCAGTCCCAGGCTCTCACTCTGTGCCTCTCCCGCAGGGCCTGCTCTGCCGCGGGGGAGTCGGCCCTGCTCCCAGCTGCAAGGAACCTAAGAAGCCAGAATATCCAGCCAATCCACAGCTGCAGGACCCCAGGCGTCAGCAAGGACCTGGGCCGGCTCAGGATGATGGCAAGGACCAGGTCAGCGGACAGTGGCGCCTCCCAGGGTGTGGAAGCCAGGTCTTCACCGTGGAGCAGGTGGCTGCGCACACGCTGCAGCATGGCCAGGCCGTGGGACGGGCCCCCGGTTCCCCGCTGCCCAGGCTGTGTACCAACTCCAGCAGCCAGCACTGCGCCCCTGCCGGCCCCACCTCGCTCACGCGGGTGTGGCCTTCCTCCGTGGCCCAGGTCTCCAGCTGGATCAGCATGTGGTTGTGCAGCGCCAGGTGCCAAAGCTGGCTGTCCCCGTGCGCGTCCCTTGAGCCAAACACACGCTCCTCCTGTTCCGCGTCCAAGTAGAAGACCAGCGGCTTGCGGAAGTGCTTGGGCCGCGTCCACCTTCGCCCAGGCCAGCGCTGCTCGCCATGGCTTAGCTGGGGAGACAAAGACCCGGAGGAGGGAGGGCGGCAGGTCAGACAGGCTCGGCCCTCAGGGCACTTGAGGACCCAGGCAACAAGGCACCCAACCTTGGCTGCTGCTTCTCTCCCTGAGGATCTGCCTCCCCTTCCCATCCCTCTCCCTGCCATCTCCCTGAGCCCAGAGTGGACCCACCTAGCACCCAACTCGCCAGCCTCTACTCACTTCTCAGCTTTGCACTAGGAAATGTCCTTGGACAAGGGGGCACTTCGGCGACCCACTGTTAGGTCGTTTCCTTGCTCAGGAGCTCAATCTCTCTGTATCTTAATACACTTTTCAGTCTTCACCTCCCTTCTCGTTTAGGATTACTTGTGGTTTTGCTGGATTACGAACTGGACGCCCTCTCTGAGAACTAGCCCCTTGGGCGCTCTATTTCTGTCCCCTCTAGCACCCGGAACTGTGCCAGAAGGCCCACAGCTCTGGAGTCTGGATCCTCCTGCCTCAGCTTTCTGCTCACTGGCCGGCACCACCAATGCCTCCGCTTTTTCTTGAGGGTTCAGACTGCCAGGTGTGGTGACTCACGTGTTTAATCCCAGCACTCTCAATACTGAGGGGCAGGATTGCTGAGTTACTCGGGCAGCCTAGGCTACAGAAGACATTCAGGGCGAGCCTGAACTACAAAGCAAAACTGTGTCCCACAGACAGACGGACACACACACAGACAGAGAGATATATGAAATGAAAAACTGTATTGTAAGGCCAGTTCTTCCTCATTTGCTAAATTGCCCAGCCGCAGTGTGAACTTGGGATCCTCCAGCTTCAGCCTCCCAGGGTCCCTGCAGTCCCAGTGTGTGTGGCCATATCTGGCTCCTCCTATGATCATATTGGAAAAGCTGGAACTCAGATAATGGGCAAGTAGGTCAGCCTCACACCCATGCGTGCACACAAACACTCATACCCACGAACACACACGGAGTCAGAAACTGTGCGGGCCATCTGAAGTATGGTGAGCCTCCTATCTCAGCTGCTCTGCCTGGAGTCCTGGCCCTGTTCTCCCCAGCGTCCTCCCTCTGCCTGATGCATCTACCCCTACCCTTCAATCTGTCTCCTTCAATGATTTTCCAGGATGTGAGTTAAGATCCTACTTAAGGAGGTGGCGTCTCGACCCAGGCCTGAGTTCCACTACTTAGAAGCCTGAGGCAGCTGAGACTTAGATGCAAGCCCGGCTCACACAGCAACTCCCTGTCTCCCCTGCCACCTACTTTGAAGGACTTCTCATTTGAAGGCATGCAGAAATACTACAGTGACACCCAGGATTTGTAGACAGATTTTTAAAACTTTAGATGGATACTGACAAGTAATTAATTTTTCCTTTAAATGTCAGGTACAAAACAAACAAACAAAGAACCAGAAATGAGACCAAGATAGCTGCGCAGTTACCAGCAGATAAAACAGCCTCTCTGAGAGTCACCACCAGACACTGGAATATAGCATCATGAAGAAGACAAGAAGCAGAAAACATCTGAGGTGGTAACTGAAGCCATGGAGAGAGCTCAGAGAGACCCTGCAGCAAACACAGAGGTGCCCAGCAGCCCCTTCTCCCAGAGATGGGACTTAGTGCATGAGAGGAGCAGTACAAATCTGCAGACCAAGAGTGACTGTGACAGCCGGTGACCCCAGGGACCTCTGCAGAGAGACACAGCAGTGGAGGGGAGCAGCAGACATTCGGGACTGCACTGGCTCACAATGTTCGTCCTATATTCCATGACT